ATTTGGCTGCTTGCTTCCTCGAGCAACTGAATATTTTGCTTCTCTCCCTTTGCTGGTGTATTGAAACATGGAGTTTGATTTCTCCCAGATAAATTTGCTTTTGATTTTTCCAAAACAAACAAACCACTGGGAATCATGACATTCCTCTTCCCTTCTAATCCTTCTACACTGCAAACTAAAAACCAAACAACCCGCTAATGGAGTTTTTCTTTCTTTTTTTTGGTATATAATTTTTGTTATCTGATCATTTCTCTAAACATTACTACTCAACACCATTTCCTTTGGTTGGCTTTAGCCCCCCCCCCCCCCCCCCATCCACCGGCGGACAAAAATACATTTCTTTCATCTTTGTTTATTTATTAGTGAGCTATATGTATGTATGTATGTATGTATACCCTGTTAAAATTGCAGTATTTGACCAAATGGGTATGCTCTGTTCTGTTTAATCATTTTAATTGCTGCTTTCTGGAGATGTTGAAAGATTGTTTTAAGCGCTTCTGAGAAGAGTGTATTCTTATTCCACTCCTTTATTCTCCCTTCAAGAATTGGAAATTGGTTCTCTTCTCTTCTTTTCCTCCTCCCCCCCCTTCCTTTTTGTTCTAATATAAATTTTCTTTATCGTTAAACAAACATGAATTATACACTATACATATTCTCATTTATCATTAAAGTTTCAATTATATCTATTATTCTAAGTTATCGCCAAAACTTTATCATATAACTAATCTTTCTAAATCAAAATTTTTTTAAAAAAAAAAACATTTATTTTATTTGAATTATACTATTGTATGATAACAATTTAAACTTCTTTTTTTTATATATATAAGAAAATAAAATTTTAAATTTAACCAAAATTAAATCATACGAGTTATAATTTAAAAATTAAATAAAATGAGATGTGAGGTGGGGGACCATGAAATCTTTAATTAAAAAAATGGGCTATATATATAATAAAAATATGTATAGAGTCGGGGTGCTCGTGGGTTTTTGGAGAATGGGACATGGTAGGAGGATGTTGGTCTTCTAAAGATTTCATTGGAAAGTGAAGAGTAAGAGGAGGTAATAAGAACTAGCAGCCATCATCAACTGCCACCATTGTTTTTCTAAATTCTTCTTTTTGATATCTCCACTCCTCCTCTTCCTTTGGGCACTCTCCCCCCCCCCCCCCCCCCCAATTATTATCAACATAAATCTAGTTTTGAATTAGTACTGTAATTTTTCATTATTGATGATATTTGAAATAAATAAAATAAAATAAAATTGGGTGATTATGTAATTTAAAAATATGAATGACACAAAGATATATAGAAAAGGGTAAATCCCCTTTATTACACAATCTTCTTTTAACCCCCTCAAAAAAAAAAAAAAAAGAAGAAAAAAGAGTATATGAATCTCATTTATTTAACCCAAAAAATAATAAAAGTTAAAAAGAAGTAATAACATAATTAAAAGTTATAAAAAGTTAAATTATACTCAAGCCAAACTAAGCTGTAATTTATTCTATATATTCTTTTTACACAAAATAATAGTTATTGCAAAAGATTTTACCCCCCAAAAAAAAAAATTAAATTAATATATACTCTTTACGTATAATTAATGGGATGAAAATTATAGAGTTAATAAAAGTTAAATAAATAATGTTGAATTTACTAAGAAATCTCCAATCTTCTATCAGCGTTCTGTATTAAAACAAATATTAAAAAAAAAAAAAAAAAAAAGAAAAGTAGAAGACTAAAAATGGCATGGATTTAACCAATTTGAATAAATAGTAATTTGATAAATCATAATTTCATTTCACGAAAAAAGAAGGAGTGGTCGGTAAATTTATTTATTAATGCAAGAAACATTGTACCAGCAGATGCCTTACTCAGATTCAACCGTGCATGCCCAATTCTAGCAATCGAACACAAAAATATAATAATTCTCTGTTTATTTTCCAAGAAAATTTTCCATTTTCCACCAAACGAAGAAGAGAAAACTTTCCACCAATCCAAACGCTGCCGAGAAAGAAATGGCATATGAAAATAAACCCAGAATCTGGTACTGGGTGGGTGAGAAGCTGCCCAGTCTTATTTAGCAAAAACCCAATGAAATTACAATTACGCCAAATTATTATAAAATTGGTACCAATAAATGTTTAACACTTGGGTTGGATCCAGTTTTGATTAAATTTTATGTAGTAACGAAGAAATGTCAGCTGGTATTCCAATTTTTATTATTATTATTTTTAATAAAAAAAAAAAAAAAGAGAGAGAATGTTTCATTTTCCTCTTAATGATCATAGGTGGAGACAACTGGATGGTCCAGAAGCTCTAAGAAAATTGAAAATGATATTAAGGAATAATTGTTGTTTCATACAGAATTTAATTAAAATTAATAAATATTGAGATAAAGAATTTCAAGTTAGCCGTGTTTAATACATATACCAACTTGCTTACAACATTAGGTCTCAAAATTAAATGATTTGCCCCCCCCCCCCCCCCTTTTTTTATTTTTTTGCTAGGGGACCGATCTCTATTTTTTATTGACTCGAGTTCTTTTTGACTAATAAATTTATAAATAATTATTCGTATAATTAACAATATTAAAATTATTCGTCACATTATTTTAGACCACGACTAAGTCTGTTTTGATTCAATTTAGACAAAATTATTAAAAAAAAAAAAAAAATTCTATTTATTTTGACAATTTATAATTTTGAAAGTAGAATTTTATGAATGATGACATAGTGCACTTCAAAATTATTCCATACTCTTAGTTCCTAAAGAATATAAGTAAAAATAAAGGGCTCCGCAGATTTAGTTCACAGATAATGATTTAGTGTATGGATACTGCTGCTTAATTAATTAAAAAGAAATAAATACACTGTATTATGTTTGGTTGTATCGATAAGTTAGATATCATATTCTTCTGCTTCCTTTATGCCCTCTTAATCTTACCTTCATAATGCTGAGCTTTTTCAATTCAAATTTAAATGCAGACAGTTTTGTTTTATTGTACACACACAATACATATAATTATTATATACAATAAACCCAGATATCAATAATATATGTGTATTGTACGTTATGGATTCTATCATTCTACAAACAATAATTATTGCATTGGCGAAAACTCAAAAACCCAAAAACTGCTTTTTTGATTTCATGGAAAACAAGGATTAAACAGTAGTAATTATAAAAAGTGGTGCAATTCCATTGTTATTTAAATATTTATTAAGCTGTCTGATACTTTTTTTTTTTTTTCTTAATTACAGATAAAATTAAAAATTATTTAATTGGGTAATTCCATGAATTTAATTTAAAATAATATTTACCGTGAAATCTGGGTAATTCTTGCATGTTTTTCTTCGTAAAAAAATGAAGGTATCAAATAAAATACAAAAAGAGGGGCCCGGTGGGGGGGGGAGGAGGAGGGGAAAAAGAGAAGTGAGAAAGTAAGGGGGGATGGAGTTAAAAATAAAGGACACGTGTCGAGCCAAAAACTGCACAACTGGATCATAATCATAATCTCAACCCCTTCTTGTAAAGTAGACTTTTACTTTTTCAGTCCGGGCCACCAAAATGGCCCTTTAATTACTATCAAATTTTGGAATAGGAGTCCCCTTCCCCTATAACTCTATAGATTTGGGGCAACGATTAAAATAGTAAAAAGTTAATTAAATATATATATAAATATAATTTTGGTACACATAAGATGTGTGTGTGTGTTGTGCAGGCAATCATGTAATGAAGAGTGGACTTTGATCAACATTCTGCAACTGTCTTGGGCCCTCTTTTAATTTAAACACTATGCCCACTCCATCGCTTAATATACCGAGTGAAGATATTTTCATATTTAAATTTAATATTATTAAAAAATGGGGAGCAGTAGGTTTTTTTAAGTGTGTGACAACTTTTCTTGAGAAGAAGAAGAAGATGGGCCACATTTTCCAATATTAATTATATTGACGTGACCCAAGAGCTTGCCATTCCATGGGCTTCTTTTTTATTTTATATTATTTATATATATATATATATAAATTGACATGATTTGCCAACATACATTAGTTTCTCTTTCGCTTTTTTCTTTTTTCTTTTTTTTTTTTAATTAAAAAAAAAGAATTATGATGCTGTACTAAAAGATGGGATTTTCTTTTCTTTTCTTCTTTTTTTTTTTTTTTTTTTTTTAAAAAAAACCATATGATATAATTAAGAAACAAACGACGCCGTCCTGACAGTTGTTCTTTTTGGCATTAAAAAAAAAAAAAAACGACGCCGTCCTGACAGTTCTTTAATTGATATTTTATATTTACATTTTAGATAAAATGTTTTATTGGATAAATTTAATAAACCCTGTACTTTTTTTTTGTTTTCATTTTTAAAACAATACGTTTATCATTTGGGCATCTTTGGGGTATGCTTAATTTTTATATAATTGAACGTGTAAATATACAGGACGACCCACCCTGTCCTAATAATTAAGAGTGTTTTCATTATAATTACAAAAAAAAATTAAATTAAATTGGACAAAAGATTACTTTTAATTAAAATTATAAAGTATATCAAAATTGTTGCGCCTGTGTAAAATATGCAAGGCATATTTAGAAACCATAATTAATTCCCACAAAGTAATAATAATGTGTACGGGACAATATACACATAATGTGTATGTATGCAATGTAAAATTAGGGGGCTTCGTATATTTTATTATATAAATTTAAATACATACACCAATTTTCGTATGCTCAAAAAATTAGTATTCTAAAGAAA